GGGGAGCGTGGTGGTAAGGGCAGGTGGGCGTGTGCACGGCCCCGCGAGCCGCCCGCCTCCTCCCCCTCCTCCACCTCCACCTACACACACACACACACACACACACACACACACGCGCACACACACACACACGCTCACACATGCGCGCACCTCTATGCTGAAGAAGGTCCTCTCGCTCTTGTCGAAGCTGCTGGTGGCGAGGGCGTCAGACAGGGAGACCTTCGCCAGGTCAGCGCCGATGAGCTCGGGCCAGGGGTACTGCGATCAGTAACAGGGGGGGGGGGGGCGGGGCGGCAGGCAGCACGGGTTTCCAACCCTTGTAATGACTTTGTTGCCTTGATTTGTTGTGTTGTGTGCGCGTAATCGTGCACACGGTCCGGTCGCGTGTGGCATCGAGGTTGCTTGCTGCGATGACGAAGGTTGATTGATAATTAGGGGGCGTGGGCGTCCTGGCTGCGCCTGGCAGGCCGCTGCACCTGAGGACTTTTTTGAGACGGGCTGCGGCGCGCTGGTGCGACCCGCCGCCGCGGCCCGGCCGCGAGCCGGCCGGCCGCGAGGCCGCTGGCCCGGCGAAGGCGTCTCTGGCGGCGTACGTGGGCGTGGGCGCGGGGACCGGGGAGGGGCGCAGAGCGAGGGTCCTGCCGGGCGGGCGTGACCGGGTGTCGTCGCACCTGCTCCTTTGGCAGCAGCTTCTCTACCAACTCGCGCTTCTTCTGGCTGCAGCAGGGGGGGGGGCGGGGGGGTGGAGACCGTATATGGGGTGATGCGGCGCACCAGTACACACATAGGGTCTGGCTGGGTGCACACTTCCCCTGCTTCATTTCATGATTGCCAGGCATCAGCCCAACGGCCGCTTGGTCCATCGCGCATGACCAGCCTGGGCCCGAATGAAGTGCCGCCCTTGCTGTTGCCCTGATCGCCCCTGGCGCTGACCTGGCGTGCGGCAGGTCGATCTCGTAGAACTTCACGCCCGGGCGCGCTAGGCGGTACGCGCGCGTGTCGTAACCCGCCGCAATGATGACCACCTGGCGGCGAGGGTAGGGGTGGGGCGCCGCAAGGGGCGGTACAGGCGGGGTGATGGCCACACAAAGTTGACCATGCAGCTGCTGCTGCACAATCACTGCTCCTGCCAGAGTATTTGAGTCTCTTTCTTCCCTCTCACCATTCCATTACTGGTGCGTTCACCCATTTTGCAGCAGAACTGGATGAGCTCAAGTCAGATCAGATCATGCTGCCCCACCTGCTTGATGCCGTCATCCAGGGCCTTCTTCATGCCGTCATCGATCCACTGGGTCCGCGCGTCAATGAAGTTGACGATGCCTTCGGGAAATGACGAGAGTTTGACCGCACTTAGATTTGTTGGGCTGACCATCACATCACAAACTCAGCAGGGGAATGAGGCACGCGTACGGCGCGGGCATTTGGGCATCAGGGTTCAAACCGTCCCGCATCACCAGCAACGTCACCGGCCGGCCGTCACCCGTGGCGTCACCGCACGGCTCACCCGGCACCCCGAGGTACTTTATGTCGAGGCAGCGATTGCGGTACCACAGCTCGGGGTCGCGCTCCCGGTGCTGCTTGCCGCGCACCTACGCACCCAAAAACAACAACATGCGACACCATGTGCGGGCAGTGGCGCGGCGCAGGCAAGGGGCGTCAGCGGCCTGGCGGCAGGTCGTCTTGGATGGCTGCTCGCACTGACCCGCCGCTCACGCCCGCAGTACAAGCGGCTGGGCAGTAGGCTAGCTGCCGTTGGCCGCCTTCCGCGGTTGGCAAAGCTGCGGGTGCCGCTGGCACCGCTGGCGCTGCCTCTCGGAGCTGCGCGCCGCCGAGCTCCCACAGCTGCCACTCCCGCCGTCGCCGGCCGCAAAAACCACACAAGTCCCCCTGGGAGCAGGGGTTTTGCCTTGACTTCCCCCCCTGGGTTTGCTGCATTGAGGTGCTCCTTTTGATTGGCCTGTGATCTGCACGCAACGCACCGGCATGAGCTCATCCCTCAGCAGGGGTGCCAGGTAGTCGTCGTTGCAGTTGGGCAGCCCAAAGTCCCGATTGAAGGTGCGGTACGTGAGCTGGTTTGGCAAGGGGAGGGTGGAGGGAGGGTACGTGGGCAAGGGGGTCAGGGG